AGAAAAGAAAAGAAAATACAGCAGAAAGAAAAAGCATCTTACAGGCTTAAAAAAAATCCCCTCTATGAAACATACCTAAAAACTCTACAAATCCATTGAGTCCCTTAAATATACAAGTCAAGGAAACTCCTAGTCTCCTCAATGTTGCTATAAAAGTACACATAATTCCTATTCGGGCAAATATTCCAAAGTAGTCTACTAAAACTAAAATGTCTTAATTAAAAATACTAGTTTAGGATATCCATTCATAAAACTGACTCCTTTCATGAAACAGCCAAGGAGTTCTACAACACCAAACCAATTTAGAATCATTTTACCCTACAATTTTCATTGTAGCTGGTGTAGCTATTTCCCTTCCCTCATTGCCAACACTCTTCCTTTAACCATCATTTCTTTATTTCTTTATTTACTTTAAAGGTTTCATTTCTGTCTTTCAAGTTCAGGAAATTAAATGCTTCTCAAGTGAAGTCATGGGTAGGAGGGGTCAAGTTTTTGACTGGGCTCTGAGTTCCTGAGTTCCCCCTGAAACCAAAAACATGATGGTGGAGGATCAATTACTTGATAAAAATGGTGCTCCTTGCTCAATAGTAACCACCACTTAATAAATATCAGGGCCCAGAAAATCCTTGGCATTCAAATAGGTTATGTCCCAAGACCTCCAGGATCCCCAAATTTCCAAACATTACTGTAGTACATAATCCCCTCCATTTCATCATCTGCAAAATGAAGACAGTTGTATCTTCTCCTCAGGGTTTTCATCAACATTAAGGAAAACTACATCAAATGGGGAAAAAGCCAAGCTAAAAAACTGGGCAGAAGCCAAGGTCATTCATTAGCTATTTATTCCTGAACGTCAGCCTCAAAGTAATGCAATTCAAAAACATACCTCAACAAACCATATTTCTATGTCTCACATTTATCTCTTGAGTAGCTCAGCAATAGTGATTAACCACAAATTCAGGCCCTCAAGAGTCCACTGTAGTTTCCCCATTATACCAACAAATCAGACCTGAAAGATGGCTATGCATAATTTACTGAGCTTATTGGGGGGATATTTCAAAAGTACTATCTTTTAAAAACCTACCAAGTGAGGTTTCTGTAAGGTGTTTAATAGTCCAATCTTTTCACACAAAGCAAAACAGTTGAGTTTAATAATCTGTAAATGAGTTTCTATGATAACCATAAATAGCCCAAACTCATGTTGGTTTTAATATTTTAAAAACAATAACAAGACAATGTGGAAAATCCTAATATACAAAAACTTCACATACTTTTCTAGCTGGTCAAGGTTGGTGGAGAAGCTGGCTAAATATGAAAATTAATCTGAATCTTAGTGAGACTCCTAAATAACTTTTAATTTTGTTTACCAAGCTCCATGTGCTCATCACAGGAGTTATATCCAGGTGAGGATGGCAAATTCTCATTACACTGCAGCAACTCCAATGAGTCATTCATTCCTGAAGCTCTCTTGTCCATTACCAGCAGGAGTTTCTGCACTGCATTAGGCATCTGATTTCTCTTCACTTCCCACACCATGTTATGGTGCTCCGACTTAAAATAAAAACAATACAAGAAAAAATGTCAAATCATGCAATTCAGACATTATATAAGCATAAAATCAGAGACATCACAATGTTGCATGCATTTTTAACTTAATCGTACATTGCCATTTTTATCTCCCTCAAATCCTTTAGACCAGGATGACTTGCTATATCTTGGCCTACAACTGTGTACTCAATAATAAATTAGACCTGAATCCCAAAAGATTAATATCTTGAATTTATAAAAGTCTTTTCTGATAAATAATGGAGTTATATATACTTTTATTTCTTTAACATAGTAACTCCCCTTTCAGATGCAGATACTGAGACTAATGAAACTTTTTTTCCCAGCTGTACTTTCAAATTCAAAAGAAAATTAAACTTTCTGCAATAACATTAAAAAAAGACTGGAGGAATATTCTATTTCATGTAAGAAATAAAATGGCCACATATAATTCTCATAAAAATAAAAATGTTCTTAGGTTTTCTTCATGAGAATTAGGGACCTAGCCATAATAAAAAGATACCTTTCATTCTAAATAGCCTATTATTTTTAGAAAGATGAATAACAATCATAGGAAATTTAAACAACTAGTAAATCTACTTTCATCAAGCCTACAAAGTTATCACAAGGAAGAGAATAATATAGGTTAATACACTTAAATAATTTCTCAGCAAAGTCCACCAACTAAATTTTGTTATGAAAGGGAAACGTGGCTAGACCTTTTACATTCAGCCTTTTGGACAATGATCAAAT